TGTTCATTATTTTAATAATGTAAATAAAAGTATTCATTTGTTCATTATTTTAATAATACAAATTTAAAAAAACGACCACTAATTCCATGTACTTGTTCTTAACTTCTTCCTGGTTCTGAGCACTTTAACTAAAACCTCAAAAAGCATGAATTGGTCCTTGAAAAGACGACCAACAAACGTAAGCACTTTCAATAACTTCCAAGCCCCCATTCACATCCGAAATCGGCCGGTGTCACAAACATCCACTTCTCTCCACATCCACATGCACAAAATCCAGCCTGAACATACACGCATTCGAGGGGAATTCAATTATTTCCAGCCCCACATCAGTCTGCACGGCTCAATCAAGTCAAGGAGCTCTTGAGACTCACAGCGAGTCCTCGGTACTATTAGCAGTGTTTTGCTCCACAGTGAAGAGCTCAGGCCCTCGGAGTTCATTAGCAAATTGCCATGCCCCTCCCCCTCGCTCTCTGCGCAATTAAAGGCAACAGTGCAAATGATGTGGAGTGGCGTGGAAATGTACCTCTGTGCTTCTTTAAGGCGTGGGGCCCAACATGTGTGCAGAGGGCAAATTAGGCCGGCAATCAGCCGAGCAACAAACAGCCGCACTTCAACAACAACAACGAGAGGACGGAGAGAAAAGGCAGCCACAGTGAAGGAGCGAGACTTTCCACATTAAAGCCGTCTGCAAAAAAAGTCACTGCGAACGAGAGGAGTTTGTTTTGGGTTCATACGGCCGAGGTGTGTTCCTCTCAATGAGCCACTGATTCTGTGCTGCTCAAATGAAGAATTGGGGCAAACATGGCAGGAAGCTCCCCGAGGAGCAGCAGGGAGAGAGTTAATAACAGGCCAAGTGGTGCTAACCAGTCTCTCCACTCAGCTCGCACCTGCAGGGGGCGCTGCCTTTATCAACCGTTTGTTATTTCTGTTAAATTGCTGTGGGTTTTTTTTTTTTTTTTTTTTAAGGTTAGATTAGATTAGATTGAACTTCATGCATCCCACACTGGGGAAACTGTTGAACAAACATTCTGTTGAAATTTTACTTTTTCCGGAGAGATAATTAGTCATGTCGTCATTATTTTTTGACATACTTTTAGCTATTTTTGGCTAACATTAGACTTAGTTTCGCAAACATTAAGCTATTGCAGTAAATTGCTAAGTTGCAACTCTTAAATAATAGTGCATGAATATTACTTAGTCACTATTAATTATTTAGTTAATTAGCAATTACATGTTTTTTGTACCTAGTTTTACATGTTTCCGTGTTAATTTCAAGCTGTTCCTTCCAATGATTTCTGAAAGGAAATCTACTCACACACTTAAAATATTACTAAAAAAAAATATTATTAGGTCAACATAAAATGTTGGAACTGAACTTTTACTAGTGTTTGGTCAAAAACACAGTTAGTAAAGTTATTACAGTGAGAGCTGAGATGATGCCAAAAAATATATAAATTAATCAGCGGGGGCAAACAGTGTCAACAGAGCCAAAAGATTTACAACAAAACATATTAAATTTCCTTAAATCAGACTAAGTGACGACCGTAAAAAGTCACAAAGTAGCTATAAAAAAAAAAACAAGTCGCTCTGTTTCACGTAGAACTCTCTACAGGGATTGTCGGAGAAAGGGTTAACTAAAGTCAAACTGGTGCGAACCAGTGACTCCACTCACATAGCACCTGAGGGGGGCTCTGCATTTATCAGGCCAGCCCTAACACACACACACACACACACACACAAAGTCAAACACAGTAGGCTGAGCCCAAACTGGCTGAGCTGCATTCACAAGCCAGAGCAGAGCCTCTCTGACTTTTTCACCTCTCAGCTATGCTCTGCTTTCTTTTCAAAGAGGCGCTCGGCATCCCTCCATACTCGCCTTTAAAAAAAAAAGCAAAATAAAAAAAAAAAACACAACGTAAAGACACGCAGAGAATATTCAGGAAATGACTTTGCGGTAACAAAGTCAGCGCTGTTGGATTGTTGGGTTTAATCAATTCAAAGTATTTTTTTTTTCCTTTTTCTCTTCCCTCTCCTCTGCTGCACGGTCGCCTCGCTGGAATAAATTGCTTTATGAATAAATGAGCCCTGCCTTCTCCATCTTGTTAACATTGTTCTTTGTGCAAATTCCTGGCATCTTTTTTTTTCCAGTCCACTTCAACTTTATGCCCCAGGGCATATATTAAAAATACATATGGAAAGAGATAACGCAAATTCGTTAAGGATGTCACTGCCTAACAATTGCAGATAAGATGTCACGCAGAAATAGCCCACAAAATTCAAAAAAACATATCTATATATAGATGTGTATGCAGCGGTTAGATCGCATGCAGCCTTTCCCCTGTTTGGATATGCACATCTACACACAGGCTGCTGCTGCTGCTGCTGCTGTGGACAGCCTCCATGTTATTGTACTGGAACATGAGTGCATCCTCCAGTAAAATTCATATCTTAAAAAAGTTTTTTTTTCGCTGCATTTTCTTTGCAAAGAAGCCTTTACGTCCCCAGTTGCATAAACAGAAATAAATTAAATTGATTGTATATGCCTGGCCCATATCAGGAAAAGTTTGTATAATGTACAATATAATCCAGGGTGAGCTGCCACCGTGTGCCAACCCCTGGAACTGCCAATGTACGTTAGAGTTAGAAAAATGGTCCCGCGGATGGTACAACGCAGCTCAGTGCAGGAACGCTGTTCTCTTTCTGGAACCAAACTACTCTGAGATGGAACGAAAGTCAATAAAAACATGTTCTGTGGTCAGACGAGTCCACGTTTTAGCATTTTAGGGAAAATAAGAGGCATCGGACGCGAGCCAACAGTGAAAGCGACCACCTAGACTATTATCAACAAAACATGCAGAAGTCCAGATGTCTCGTAATTAAACTGCATGGTGATTCATGGAGGAAAATAAGACAACAGTGACCGCATGCTGTTGGACGGCTCAAGTTTTTGAGTGCGGCAAAAATTAGCTAGAAAAATCTTCTTTAGAATTTGCAACAAGTAAGTTTCCCTGGTCCAAAAGAATTAAAAAGCATAAGTAGGGTAAGGGGAAAATGGGACGAAACCCAGTAGTAAATTTGATTCTGTCAATGTTGCAGTTATTATTTGTTGTCTTTGTTCCATTCCAGAAGAGTTTTTTTTTTTTTTAAGTGTACCAGCTTTTCTGGAAGTGGGCTTTAGAGGGACCATCCCTATGAAATGAGGCCACGTCTTCATCTCACAGTCAATTAAAGATCTGCATCAGTGCCTGCAGCACAACATCATCATTTTCTTCATATACCTTGAAACCCAGGGGTTTAAAAAAAAAACCACTCTATTTTCCATATGTAGTGAACATACTGCACGCCTGACCTATCTATCGAAAATTAAAAGAACAGAAAAAAAAAGAAAAAAAAAACCCTTTGACAACCAAATCCCCAGGAGAGTACAAGTAACAGTTCAAAGCCACACTAAATGCACAAGTGGCGTCTGTGTTATTTAATTCTCTTACTGGATTAAATGAAGTATTATCTTCCGGGGTGATCTCTCCTCATTTCCATAATCAGACACAAGGGTAGGGGATGGAGGAGGAGGAAGGGAAGGAGGAGTAGAAGGATGAGGTTCCCCAGTCAGCTCCCAGTCCTGCCATTGAGCCCAGAACATTGTAGCCAACCCCCTCCCTCTCTCTCTCTCTCACCCTCTCTCTATAGTCAGACCAGCCACTCAACCATATGGAAGTCCATGGATTTAAATTATTTAACCTAATCGCTTCATTACTCTTTATGTCCAACTCTTCAACTAATCCCTTTAATTTGGACACTTGATTTTTTTTTTTTTAACATAGGTTACACAGACTCTACAACCATATACTTCAGGCTAATCCATTTAACTTATTGATACATTGATCTTGTTGCCGGCAAACGTGTTCAATTGAGTTCAGCTATTAATGGACAAAAAAAAAACAGATTTGCATATTTCTAATCATGGCTTTGGTTTGCTGTTATCATTATTTAATCTCTCTCTCTCACTCACTCTTTCTCTCGCTCTGTGTGAACCATTAGGGTCATGCCTGTGTGTGCACTACAACGTCCCCTGAGTGCCAACAGTCAGTGGAGCACATAATGAAGACCGTGGTTATATCTCTGATAATATCTGCACAAAGGGAAACACTGCCTTAATCTAGCTTTAATGCCCACACACTGCTGCTGCTGTTCTCTTTGGAACATGGCAGGAATGTCCAGAATCTGTGCACAATGAGGTGAAAAAAAGTCGGACCGAGAGGAGGCAACATGTACCAGGGGCAATGACTTGTTCCCCAAAATCATGAGGATTCAGTTTTAAGTTGATAAAGCTCTGGTAAGAAAATAAAAAAATAATCACAAAACATATACTGCTGCTTCAAAAACACGGTGTTATAGCTGCACAGAAACGTCACATAACCGTTAGTGTCGTCCATAATTGGTCTCTGTTGACTTCAATAAGCCAATTCAGCAGATCATCACAAACACTGTACCCACCGTATTGTACTTTACATTAATGTTTATCACACAAAATGCCAAGAATGTTGGGATTATAGCTACAACAACCAAACGTGTTTATGACTTCACAAAACTTATTTTTGCATTTTTCCTCCTCTCCAAAGCGGTATCCATTTATACAAATTGTGGGATTCTGTGACATAGACCACAGTCTGCACCTCCTCCAACACACATGAGCTGACAATGAGGCTTTTTTTTCCTAAAAGGAATTTAAAACATGGAGCAGCACTAAATTAAAATGGACATGCACCAGGTCAGGTTTATGGTGATGCCTTTTCCAGTTAATCTCCTCGGTTGGGTCCCAGGTTCAAGTCTTAATGGGCCAATAATAGGAAGATTATTCAGATTTTTTTTTCTTCTTCCAGTTTCATTCCGATGGATGGAATGCAAAACGGCCGTAATGATATGCAAATAACAGCGCAGTGGAGTACTGACCCTGAATGAGAGCAGGGGTGGGGGTGTTTTGTGTGTGTGTGTGTGTGTACCTGGTCAAGGGGCATTGATGATCTTGTGATATCCTCGCTGTCTGATTTGGATCCACCCTCTCTGTCATCTATGACCAGGTCAATGGGCATCTTTCCTTTCAAGCAGCTGATGTACCGGTGGCAGAAATTATCACACAGCTCGTGAACCTGTGTGGAGAGAAGACGTAGGCATAAGAATACACACTGTTATCCACTGAAAAACACAGTAATGCACATGCAGTATGTCTACACAAACAGAGCCACCATTACGCTGTAGTCAACCACAACATATTTTATCGCACGCACATGTTCTTGTTGACGTTCGCAGGAACTGTGTTTTCCAGCGGTTACTGGTTGGGAACAGCATTTCCGAAAAACTTTTTTAAAAATGCAATAAATGACGATAACTATACTCAAAAGTACTCTGATACAGAGTAGGACTTTTGTACAGCATTTCTGGACGTATTAGCTTCGCTCAGCAAGCATAAAATAATTTCGAGTTTCAAACGTGTGTATGTATATGTATCGTGTGTGTTTAAAATAATAACACTCGAAAGTTTTTAAGTTGTCCTAACTGTTAATATTTATAGTATTACATTAAAGACTAGAACGTAGTTCAGAGTTGAGAGACAGACTATTAAAATATAAGTATAAACACAGAGACATATTAGCGCCAAACCAGCGAGGACCAGAGTTGTTGCCGAAAGAGGAGCCTGACTGAAAACTACCCGGAAGTGAAATGTTTTTTTGTAAAGTATAAACAACTGTACCAATAACGGAAAATCATAATGTGGTTTGGTTATTTTTTTTAAATAATTATATTTTTTATTTTGTCAATTAAAATAAATTTAAAGTAAATTAAAATAATCCTATAATGTACGAAAACAGTGTGTTTAAAACTCCTTGCTCCGTATCAGGTAACGCGCTAGGAACAGTAACTTCCGGAATATTTTTTTGTCCTCAACTGATAGTAGCTGATGGATCACCTGTTGCAAAGTTCTTAGATCAATAAATAAAACAAAAGTTTGAACTAGATTTATTACAATAGTAGAAACACGAGAGAAGCTCAGTTCTCCACTGTTCTTTTTATGTCTGTTTTTTTAAAGAAAGTCAAACTGCGATTATAATTTAAATTACGCAGAGAACAAGCTTGTCAAGCACGGAGCAAGTAGTGGACACCCACGCATACACACACACACACACACACACACACTGAACAACACTCACAATGAGCCTGAAGCAGTTGATACTTGCAGCCTGTAAATTTAAATATAATTAAATGATCGCGACAAGGCTTTTAATTTGGCACCGCAATGACTTAATAAAAAAAATCTTCCTAAAAAAATGTACTATTTTTAATTATTTTTTGACTTAAAAATATTTTTAATTGGTGTCCTCGTGGTGGTGCCAGGCGTGCGCTCCACACTGTGCTCACGCTGACTTTATTTTCAATTTCCTCTTCCTCTCAAAATAGAGATATCTTGGAAAATTGACAGTGACAAGAGGGGCTCAGGGGCTACAACGCACTCAACACGCGTGTTAAATTCATCACTGGTGCCCCGGGTAGTGGCCATTAGGATGAGTGTGACCCGCTTGACTGACATTTAAGGTAAACCGTTTAATTCCTGTCCAGTACATTAGCTTCTGACTGCCTGCTGCAGCAGCAGCAGCAGCATCGAGGATGTTGGTGGCGTAATCTCACTGCACTGACAGACTACAAGTGTGTATGAAAAAAAAGGAGGGGGCGACTCCTCATAATTTGAAACTGATGTGCATATTCTTAACTTCAATCCTAATATTCCACGTTGTTCTGCTAAAGTTAATCACAAAAAAATCAACACAGATTTGGGAGATTTTTACTTAAACTTAAATTGTGTTTTGTTTTGTTTTTTTGGAGCTTACGCACGTTCTAAAATTCTTTTACTTAAACTTAAATTGTGTTTTGTTTTGTTTTTTTGGAGCTTACGCACGTCTAAAATTCTTAATCATGATTCTTTATCATTGCATAGACATGAACATACATGCACAGACATATAAACATGTCAAACTTTCGTCACCGTCACCGTCCTACGTCACGTCAGAGTTTTTTTTTAAATTGAAGACACAAAACTAATTTCTAACTGACAAGGGTTACAGTAAAAGGCAAAAAGTCTTTGCAAATGAGACCCTTATCTGCGCAGTGGCCAAAAGGTCAGACGTTCGAGCACCACCTGGGGTCTATCTGTGCACGTCCCAAACCAACCAAAGCGATCACGCCTAGAGTTCTGCACTGACACCAACACTACAAACAACACGGTTCTGCGCGTGCGTACTGAAACAGAATTGAATCAGCTTATAGAGATGTTTAATAACACGAGTGCTTGGAGGTTAAAATCGTGACTTTTACAGATTCCAAATCAGAGTTTTACGCCCACTCCCCCTTCTGTCCCACAGATGGCTGCCTGGAGCCTTTTGCCCTCCACGGAGAATCCGTTTGTAGGGAGAAAGGAAAAAAAAACAAGCCTCTAAGTTCGCCTTTATGTTTCACCTTCCGTGCAGTTTGTGCTGGTATTAAACTTCATTAAAGCACGCAGGAGTTTCAGAGGCCAAAGAGAGAAAGAGAGAGTGGGAGACACACACACACACAGAGAGAGAGAGAGAGAGAGACATCCTCACTGCACTTCTAACAGCTTGCGTCGTGATTAAAGGCGAGGAAAGAAAAAAAAATGGCCCCATGATTGATTTTGACGCTAATTATTGCCGACTCACAAAAATACGTTTATGCAAATACAGCCCAAAGGTCTGGAGTGGACAGAGAGGGGAAAATAATCCTTACCTTCTCCAGCTCCAGAAGATGAAACCGTAAAACCTGGATGGCTTGAATCATCTGAAATGTAAAATAACAAAAAAAAAAAAAAAAAGGGAAAATGAGCTGCACACTCGGTTTAATATTCAACAGGCACGTTTCCCTCCCGCCCCACGGAATATAAATAAGTACAGGAGAGGAAGGCAGTGTCCATGTGAACACGTTGGATTTGTTGCACAGATTACAGCAAGTTTTGGGGTTTAAAAAAAAAAAAAAGAAGAAGAATTTTCTCATGTCATTTTTAAGGGTACAAAACTGCGGCCAGTGGAAGCACGGGTGGATGAAAAACTTTCCAGGCAGCTGTCAAACCGCGGCCCTTCATCTGCAGATACAACCGCAGGGCATCGCGATATCAAACAGCCCCCCCAAAAGCAGAACATCACCTCCAATCGTGCTGTTACTTCCCAGCACCACATGGCCCCCAGACACACACACACACACACACACGCCATTATTCACAATTATAACCTTTGGACATTTTATCAAATATAAATGTTAAACATCTTACCAAATTATCCAACTCTGGATTCGATGAAAATAAAGGCTTTTCTACACGAATCTAGAAGCAAAAAAAAAAAAAAAAAAATGGTCATAAAACACGTCAATGTAATGAAGTAATATATGTTGTATCATTTCATAAACGGACGATGAAATGACACTTTTCAGGACTTTTTTTTCCCCTCAACTTTTACGCACAGAAATTTAACCCTAAAAACAACATTAAAAATCAACTTTTTACAAAAAAATTACATGACTTTTCTTTTTCTTTTAGCACTGGCTTCATCTGTAGACACTAAAGTCACCACCTTGTCTTTTATTTTATAGACGCAGGTTTTTAGAGTTCAACCAGCCTGAGCATGCACAGAGAGAGAGAGAGGGAGAGAGAGAGAGAGAGGGAGTCAAACTCTCCTGACCTGTTTTGCAAACACTGCTATGTCTTCATTGAAAGATTCCGATGAACAGACGTCTCCTCCCGCCACCCCGGGCTCTCTGGGGGTGCAAGTCGCTAATTCACATTTCTCAAAAATCAGTGCAAGCAAAGGGAACAGTGGGTGCCTGCGGAACAGACACACAATAGCAAATGTCACCAGAGAGAACAACGCCGGGGTCAAACCGTGCAAGACTCCACTGCAGGCTAGATTCAGCCAGCCGTACTCTCAGCAACTCGCCCGTGGGGGATAATGCTGCTGCTGCTGCTGCTGCTGCTGGAGCAGCAACAGCAAACTGGGCTATTTTATTATGCAGAAGCAGAAGAGAGAGAGAGAGAGAGAGAGAGAGACAGGGGGACAGACATCTGTGATTAAATCTAGCCGCGTCTAATAGCATAAAAGCTTTAAACAATTTCTTGCACACGGGTCTCAGTTTGTGTGTGTGTGTGTGTGTTCGGCATCGTGCTTTGAAGCTCAAGGTGTGTGCACAGCATTCATTGTCTGAGGCGCGTGCGTAAACGTTTGTGAGCAGATGGAGAAAGTTATTTGTAGTGGAGTTCTGCATCATCATCATCATCATCATCATCACGGTCGAGATATTTTATTAATTAAAATATATATATATTTAATTAAACACAATAGTCATTCTGCAACTGCAAATATATATATATATGCGTGTGTACACACTTACTAGTATGACTATTTAAATATTTAAAAATATATTAACAGTATTTTCCTTTAAAGGACGAGTCATATTTATAGTGTATGAAAGTTGTTTGTTTTTTTCCCCCATAATTTACAGGATGTTTATGACACTATTCTGCATCGTAACTTTAATATTTTCTGTTCCGTCGACCTTGTGCAGCAGCATGTGCAGAAACACACACACACAGAGAGAGAGAACTCCTGCACACGGTTCTTTGTTCATTCAGCCTCCACTCTCCGGCCGGTGGAGTCAACTCCACCAGGGACTATATTCACCCCCACCCCCCGTTGCACCCGTGCGTAAACAACCCACCGGCCGCCCGCCTCACAGAGCTGCTCGCGGCTGGGCCCGGCCCGTAAAGGGCGTCTTTGTCTCTCGTGAGGGCGTCGTTGGCTGAAGAGCCCATGCTGGGAGGCATGGTGTTGGTGTGGGCGGTGTGCGGGTACTGGTGGGAGTGCAGCTGGGGCCCGTGGTTGAGGTGCACCGCCTGCATGGAGCGGGCGCCGTGCGGGTCTCCGTACATGGTGGTCGGGATGCCCACGCCGTCCATGGCGTAGTGGGGCAGGTCTTCGTACTGCACACAGGACAAGGACCATGGGGTAAAACACAAGGCTCCACGGAGGAGGAGGAGGAGGTGAAAACACATGCAGGGGAGAAATGTGTGTCAACTTTACACTTTATATATATTTATATATATTTATATTAAAAAGACAGTAAAAAAATATATTGTTTTAAAAAGTATTTCACGGTGGGAAAAGTCTGTCTTTTTCTGCACAAATCCATGGAAATAGAATTAAAATGAAAAATTAATCTCATTATTTAGTAAAACTTTTTTTATTGAATGTTTCAAAACATTTAAAAGTTGTTACTTTTTTTTCCATTTTCTTTTATATTTCGGTAGTTTCTGAGGTACAGTTCAAACTCTGCATATTTTTTAAAATTATTTATAGAAAAACACTTGATGAAAACGTAACAAACGAGAGCATTTTTTACATTATTATTTACTCAATAATTATAATTTAGCAACGCCTTAAGGTTTTAATTTAAAACAAAACTAGCACGTGTTCTACTTTTACTTCTCTTTGCATTTTCCTCATTTATTCAAGGAAAATAAATATTTTTAGATATTTTTAAATGTACTCCGAGTTCAGGACTAATTAATTACACCTACTTGGTTCTGTTATTTATTTTTATTTTTATTTATTTTTTTATACGGTGATTTTTTTTCTTCTTCTTTTGTCCTGTGTTTATTTTGTGTCACAACAACAAATGTGTCAAACCTGTTAAACACAGTGGTTTCTCGTTTTTAAAGGCTCATATTTGTGCGGCGTGTCATTATCTGTATCAAACACACTATGATTAAGGGAAGTGCACGGCAGCAAAACAAGTGAACGCGCGTGGGACGTGGGGGGGGATAGAGAGAGAGAATTTATTGCAACTTTTTCAACTCTCACGTCAGATCAGATCACGGGGATTATTTAGGACGCGTTCGGTTCCTGAAAAACGCACGGATCTGGACTCTGGGCTGTTTATTTACTTCTTCACTCGGGAGGTTTTTTTTTTTTGTCTCTTGTACGGATTAAAAATTGAAAATAATGAATAATTGATGGAGCTCTGGAGGTGACAAACGAGTGGAGAAGGGGACGCATTATCACTTAAAGCTGGGCTTTTTTGGACCCCAAAGGCAGAGAGAGGTGCGAAGCCCAGCGTGGAGCAGCCACCGAAGTGTCAAAGCCCGGCAGCAGCAGCTGAAGGTGCCATGTGTCCTGCCATATCATCCCGCTCATTATACACTGTTTAGTGGCCGTAAACAGTGAGTGAAGGTGTCCTGCAGTGCGTGAATCAAAGCGTTTGTCATCACCTCATTACTAACTTAAAAAAAAAAGAAAAAAAAAAGGTTGCCTCGCTGGCATTATGCAAATATTGTGTGTTTAAGCAGTGTGCGCGGTGCAGAGGTTGAGGATGACGCAGACCCGGGGCAGGAGTTTGGAATTGTTGACGGTGGAGTTTGTGGTGAAAAACAAAAATATTAGATTCAGGATTTGTTGTTGTTTTTCTTTTTTTGCGACTTCTCTTGATTTTAACCTGCACTGACGCTGTCGTGAAATAACCTGAGACCCAGACCCGGTGTGAAGTGTGATCTCCGGGCTGTTGGGGAGCAGAGCAGGGCAGTTGCGGCCGCGCGTAATACGGTGCCAAAAAGGACGGCTACTACGACCACCGCTGAACACCCGTGACGCGGGGGGAGAGACTGCAGAAAGTTGCGCCGCGAGTGCGTGTCCGTGTCTGTGTGCGTGATCGTGTGACACGGAGCCACGTTACAGTGCAGCGTTGCGTTCAAACCAGGCAGAGTTTTGGAGAAACTTTTTTTTTGTCGTGCGGAGCTGAATCGAACCCTGTACGTACCCGTTGCGCCATAACCCTCCTGTCTCCCTGGTCGTCCTGGTCTCAGTTCAGATAAATCCCCTCTGCGGCCAGGGTGCAGGCGAAATAAAGGAAGAAAATCCAAATATAAAGACAAGGAGAAGAAGAGAAGGAGGAGGAGGAGGAGTGCCGGCCAGCCAGCCAAAAATCCCGTTCGCCTTGTTTTCCACTGAGCGCTGAAGAAGAAGAAGAAGAAGCAGCAGCCAGTTCCTCCGTCCGCTCTCTGCGCAACTTAAGCCCGGGCGGTGGACGCAGCTCCGCGGCTATCCTCGGGGGCAGCAGCGGCAGCAGCAGCAGCAGCAGCAGCAGCAGCAGCGGCGGCGGCGTCAGAAGACTCCTGCTTCGTCACAAAAAAAGACGGAATAAAATTTCCAACAACAAAAACAAAAAAAAAAATACAAAAACAAAAAAAAAAAGAAAACAGAAAAGAGCTCCGTCTCTCAGAGACAAGTGGCGACTCTCATGGCTTTTCTCTTCTTCTTCTCCTTCTTCTTCTCCTTCTTTCTGGCCACTCCGCTTGTCAGTCAAAAACGCGAGAGCTTGTCAGAAGTACCGGATGAATGATGGTCGGACGCGCGTCTCCACGGGATCGGCACCAGCGTCCACGATAAGGCTCACAATCAGAGTTAAAAAATGGAGCAGCTCTCCTCTGCTTTTCTTTGATCACTCTCGACTCCCGGCTTGATTTTCTTATGCAAAAGCGTCCAGAGGAGATCAAGAGGAGGTGGGGTGATAATTCTGGCTGGGGCTTTCTTAAAGGAGCCACGATCGATGCGCTCTCTCTCCCTCTCTCTCTCTCTCTCCCTCTCTGTGTGTGTGTGTGGAGTGTATATGTAGGAGTTCGCTCTCCTCGGTGTAGATGTGTGTGTGTGTGTGTGTGTGAGAACAGCCTGCCCGTTTGTGTACAATGGATGTGTGTGTTGAGCAGAGGAGGAGAAGAGGAGGATCTCCACCAGACTGCTGAAACCCGGAAGTAGTGGTGGCCATAACAGGTCGCGTCTCTTACACAAGGCACCGGGCTGCAGCAAGTCGCGAGCAACGGAGGGGGGGACAGGAGCGAGGAGCCGGGGCAGGAGCAGAGGCGCTGCAACCTCCGGGAGGATCCAGACCAGGAGTCCAGGTCCGGGACCGGCTCTCAGACTCTGGACCATGGAGTTTTTAAAGAGATGGATGGATTTGTATTTATTTATTTATTTATGTCCCTCCGCGTAAAGAGTTGATTTTAAAAACAAAAAAAAACAAAATCTGTTTTCAACTGAGTTTTTTGACGCGGTAGAATCCAGTAGAACGTTCTGTTCTGGAACCAATGACACGTCAGAATAATAGAAACAAACAAAATAAAAAATATATATATCGTTACGTGACGTTCAAAGGTAAGTCATTGACTTAAAGTTTGGGGAGATTTGAACCAAAACAAACACGAGTCGTTTCTTTAAAAACAGTTTTAAACAGTTCTAGGCCTCTGTGCTGAGGTCACCCTCACCCTCCCTCCCTCCCTCACCCCTACACTGTACACAGTCCTGTCCTGCAGGATGTGGATCACCTCTGTGTCAGTGGGTCACGTGTCTGTGGACCGGTCTCCGTCTGACAGTGGTCAGTGTTCAGTCCGCAGCACCGCGGTTTGATTACACAGATCTGGAAACACTGTTGTTTTTAATGTTTGCTGTTTTGGTTTTTGGTTTTTCAGTGTAGTATTTTAATGTGGATTTGAACCAGACTTGACTGGACCCAGGGTTCTGGAGCATCATCCTCTTCATCCTCTTCATCTTCACCCTCTTCTTCCTCGTGTCCAGTCCGTGCACCCAGCTCGTCTTCATCCCTCCACCCCCACAGCAGCACAGAATGGGTCGCTCCAGTCTGCCGCGGCTGTCCAATTGCAGCGAGGCTCAGAGACAGGAGCCCCACCATTGGCTCCCCCCTCCCTCTGTGTCCCCCCCCTCTCCCCCCCCTTTATCGATCCTGGAGGCTGATTAATTGATCAGTTATAGTCTACACCGGGCCACGTTGGTCAGAAGGCGCAAAAACTGACCTAAAATGCTTCGTCCGGTGACGTAGAGCTGACGTAGAGGGAGGTTGTTGGAAAGGAAAATCTATAGAATATTCTTTATAAACAAACACACATTTAATTGTGGTTATATTTATATTGTAAATACACTCATTTATAGCCTCTCTCTCTTGGACTTTTTCTCTCTCTAATGAGATGTTTTTATGTATTTAACATCTGCAGGAAACAAATATATTTTTGTGTGAAATTTTAAAAAAGTTAAAAATCGTTGGTGACACAATTAGAAATTTCACTCTCACTTCTTTCCCTCCTCCACAAAAAATAATTGACGACACAATTTACACAAAGTGTGTAAATGTCTTTTAAATTATTTATACAAATGGATTCGTCCCTGTGTTTAATATAAACCTAAATGTCAAACATTTCTGTCTGAATTTAAGCAAAATTAAATCATGAAGAGAAAAAAAAGTTCACGTCGCAAAAATACGCGTGGATATTTCAGCAGATAATCCAGGATTAATGAGAGTTCTGCAGTTAAAGGAACTTTTGGGGTTTTTTTTCTTGTCCACAGACTTTTGGACATTTTTACATGAGTTTATATTCAATTTTTATTACATTATTATTTTGTTTTTTTGCACATTTCTGGACCAATAATCTTTTGGTTCTCAGGAGCTGCTGCTGCTGCTGCTTTGGTCAGTGTCAGTCTGTTTGAATATGTTTTTTTTATCTCCTTCCAGTTGCGTTCACTCATCGATCATCTGCCCCCGGTGCCAGTGACGGTGTCACAACACGACGATGCGGCGGCCTCACACGTTCCCAGGTGATTCCAGTGGGGGAAAAAAAAAAAAAAAAAAAAAAAAAACACA